ACTCTGTTTTCTCCTCCACAGATGCTGCCAGTCCTGCTGAGCTTTTCCAGCAACTTTGTTTTTGTTCCTGATTTACAGCATCTGCAGTCCTTTTGATTTTTATTAGGGAACAACATGCGTCTCTTTTGATCGAGCACTTCGGTTTCTTGGTTAAAATCATCTATCATTTTATAAGGTACATTTCCCTATATTGAGAGTGCATATGAATGCAACTGAAGTGTTACTGTAGCTATATTAGCAGTTAGTAATTTCTACTAGTCAACACTGTGTATAAAAGTGAACAGACATTTGATCAAATCTGAATTGAAATTAGGCAAAGACTTTACAGAGTTAATACTATCACAAACTCACTTTACTTGCATGATCTGCTGTTTATAGAACTGAGTCAGCTGCGTTTTCTCCAATTCATGCTGTTCCTGCAACTCCTGCTGAAGTCGACACTTGGAATCCTCATGATGCTGCTGATGAATTCGCTGACATCTGCAATGTTACATTAGTAAAAAAAGATAATTCTTTGTCCTACTTACAAAACAAAGATTTTAATGCATTTAACTCTTGCACAAATTATCTTATGTACTTTTGTAACTAATTCTGAAGTTCAAATGAGCATGAGAGGCTGAATCAACATACACAAATATTTTTGCCTACTTTGTTCAACTAATGGCTGTACATTGTACCTGTCAATTGCCTCTTGCTTATCCTGGTCAAAGTCCTGAATCATCTGTCGCATCTCATTATACAATTCCTGGTTTGCTTCTTTAAATTGCTTTTCACTATCAATTAATTTTTCAATCTGCTGCTGTTTATCCTACAGAAGAAGACAGTGGTTTCTGCTTTAAAGAAGGATTAAATCAAGAAATGCAATAGTTTAGCTGCACATCCATTGAAAATTTGTACTGAGCTGCAATTCTGTTTTCACCTCAATTTCTTTGCGTAGAGCCTGGTTCTCACATCGCAACTTGTCAACTTCTTCTTGAAGGGCCTTTTCAGAGGTGGATGAGCAGGGTCCTACAGCTTCCAGTTGCTTTTCCAATGTGCTGGCTCGTACCTGAATGCATACAAATAAGTTCAGTTTTATAGCTTTGAGTATTCTAATAGCAGCTGATTTGGTGAATACAAAAAGACTTAATCTACTCATTAACATTTCACAGACATGCGTCCATTCTATATTCCATCATCAATGGCTAGCTGATGTTACACAATCATGAGACAAAAAGTGACAGATTGAACTTCTGCTATTGTAAACATTCCCCATCGCCAAAAACAAAATATATCTGAAACTAAAAGTTATAGAAAAAACCACCTAAAATTCAAGAATGCTACACAGCAAAATTAAGAAAAATAACTCAAAGAGTCATCAGGAATCAATTTTTTAACATGTGTAGCACATGTGAAGTACAAATAGCTATCTCTTTCTCTTAGCAGTCCCTGGAACTGGGCTCAAGAATAACTGCTTGTGGAGTTCAAATTCATAATCTGCAGAATCTGCCACAAGTGGTGGCAGTGCCTGGAGGATCAGGTAGATGAGTTGTTACAAGATTTCACCTATATTGACAAAGACTCTTGGTGCGTTCCAGAATGAACCTGCTCCATCTTGATCAGTTACAAGTTAGGGACTCCCATGAGTCAGAAAGGATGTTTGACTTCTTGGGGTATTCTTTGAGAACATCTCTAAAGTATTGCTAACATCTGCATGGGAGTCGCCTGCCACACCAGAATTCATAAGTTGCGTCAGGAGTCTGAAGTAAGGCATGCGAATCAAACGTGCAAAAAACCCAACATGCCTCTAGACTCAAAGAAAATCCCAAAACACTAAAAAAAGTATCCAATAGACAGCGAGGTCAGGAAGACCTTTCTAAAAAGGTGTAGCGAAAGTTGGAATGCAGAAGGATTTAAAGAAGGACTAACAGAGTGTAGGGCCATGATGGTCAGAAAGGCATTTTTGTCTTGTCCAAAGTGCTCAAGAAAATTGCAGTGCCAGAGGGACAAGTTCATAGAGAAGTTTGTGGACAGGTATTTTAAAATTTACCACAATGGAGAACCAATAGACATGTGACAACAATAAAAATAACCAAGCTTAGTGAGACAGGAATGGGCAAAAGTTTGAATAAGTTGAAATTTATAAAGGATGAAGATTGTAGTAAGCAAGGAGTCTCAACATGTTACAATTTTGCAAGCACTGAATGTTTGAACATGGTCAGTATAATATAGTGAAATTTGGCAGTATACATTAATTATAGTAGGACGCTGGGGAATATTGCCAAACAGAGAGATCTAGAGGTATAGGTGCATAGTTCCTCGAGAGGGGAAAGATTTGGAAAGGACCCGAGGGGTAACTTTTTCACAGAGGGTGGTGCATCTATGGAATGAGCTGCCAGAGGAAGTCATGGAGGCAGGTACAATTTAAATTTTGTAAAGGCATCTGGATGGGTATATGAATGGGTTTAGAGAGATATGGGTCAAATGCTGGCAAATGGAACTAGGTCAGATTGGGATATCTGGTCAGCACAGTTGAATTGGACTGAAGGGTCTGTTTCTATGTTGAATGACTGACTCGTGGGCTGAGTGGTTCACTGTCTGGGCGAGCATTTAAATCGCCCATTCCAGTGGCATCAAGGACATCTATTCGATTCAAAGTACTAATGGCAACAAACATTCAATGATTATAAGACATTAAATTTGGTTAACTCAGTAACATTTTTGTAATATCTGGCTTCTTGAACTGCTGCAGTCAATTTGTCCTAGACAGACCCACAATGCCATTAGGAGGGAGTTGCAGAATTTTGATTCAGTGATACTGAAGCATCAGTGATATATTTCCAAGTCAGTTTGGGGAGTGGCATGGAGGGAAATTGCAGGTGGTAGCAGTCCCATGTAGCTGCTGCCCACATCCTTCTAGATGGTAATGGTTATTGGTTTAGATGGTGCTGTCTAAGGAGCTTTATGAATTTCTGCAGTGCATCTTATAGATGACACATGAGCACTGGTGATGCACAGAGTGGATGTTTGTGGATGTGGTGTCAAATCAAGTGAGCTACTTTGTTCCGGATATGTCAAGCTTCGCGAGTTGGGAGCTGTACGCATTCAGGTAAGTGCTGTTTGATATAATCAGGCAGCTCATGCTTACAGAAGTCAAAACAATGAGAAATGTCAAATGTGAATTTAAGATTGGTCAGCACCAGCTGTATACTCCAGAAAGAGCTAAGAATGAATCTTAGCGATAGTAGGAACTGCAGATGCTGGAGAATCTGAGATAACAAGGTGTACAGCTGGATGAACACAGCAGGCCAAGCAGCATCAGAGGAGCAGGAAGGCTGACGAATCTTAAATTGCTTCTAAATATATCTATAGGGTTCGTGATGTTGTTCATTTATGCTTGCTAGAAGCTAAAATATATTTATATGCAGGACACGGTCTTCTGAAAACAGGACAAATACATCCAGGCTTTGGGTATTTCATTAACATTGAAACTTAACCAGACTCCTTGGAAACTTCAATACTAAATGTGACAAAGACACTAAATCCATCAAGGACATCTATTCAATTCAAAGTACTAATGGCAACAAACATTCAATGATTATAAGACATTAAATTTGGTTAACTCAGTAACATTTTTGTAATATCTGGAGGATTGAAGCATTAAATTTTGCTCATAATGATGTTATAAGTAGGTCAATGGAATAAGGTGCACACATGTTCATTTTTAATACTTTTTAACCAAATGTTATACTTTGAGAAAAGAATCAATCATACAACCGACCTCATGGCTTCTTGCCATTTTTTCAGCATTTTGCAACTGCTCCTTAATCTCAGCTATTTGCTTTTGACTTTCTTTACTTTCATGCTGAAGCTGAGTCACTTGATGACGTTTTGTTCTGATGCTGCTGAGTGCTCGCTCCAGTTCAGACTTCAGTTCCATTATTATCTCATCCTTAGACAACACCTTGTCAGAGCAACCTTGCTGTATTGAGCTTAGAGAAGCGGTACAAGCAGAGAAGAAAGGGTAAATTTAAAAAACACCACTTGGGTATCTTGCTTAGCCTTGACCGAAACGCTCATAGCCAAAATCTATCCTGAAGACTTGTACATTTGTCTTATTATTTATCTCAGTCTTGGCTGAAAATACCTCCACAATACCTACTAGAACACAAGTAACCCACCATAAAGTAGAAGATCTGTTTTAAACATGGTGATCCTCACTTTTGCAAGCTAACAGCGAATACTGCCCGTTAATGACTTACTATCACGCTGCCCATTTAGTGCAAGCCCGAGTACAAAGAGTAAGGTGCAAAGTTTGATAACCGCCATTCCTGTTTCCAGGGGCTATGGTTTGCAATAAGCCCATACTTGATACTTCCAATGCTGCCAGCACTCCAAGACTTTGTCTGCTTTTGTGACGTCTACATCCAGCCAACACTAAATACAGTGACAATTGGCTGCATGCCTCAGCAGATGACCCCCACTTGAGAGGTTGGCATCCCCTAAAGAGACGACGGATTCTGGTTGCAGCAGATACTATTACAGTCAGTGTAAGAAAAGCCAAGCAGGATGAAGAGTGTATGGTCCAAGATTTTCTGATGTTTCCCTGAGCTTTAGCAGACAGGAGGGGATCCATTAGGGGGCCAGAAGACTCAAGATAATTCTGCAAAGGCACTGGGGCCAGAAAGCCATGGCAATTGATGCTAGGGTTGAGCTTCAAAAAAACTTGATGCAGTACCATAAAAGGCTTTATAATTTCATCACGAGTTGTGAATGCCAACAAAAACATCTGCAAATGCTACTTTCCTCTAAGTGTACAACAGGCATCCAATATTGCACATCTGCAGCACATTTCCATTGTTTACTAACAAAAATCATGAGTCACACCTTATATTCATAGCTTTATTTCAGCTACTATAGATAGAAATATTGCAAGCTTACACTACACTGTGCAACTTTCACACGTTGCCACACTTAACAATGATAGCCATGTGATCCAAAGAAATGGACTGCACAACGCTCACTGATAAAGAATCCTCTCCTACAGGGAAATATGGCAAATAACAAGCAGCAGAATCTCATCAACAAAAGAGAAACGCGTAGTTTACCCCAACAGAGGAGGGTTTATTTTAAACCATCACTGGAATGACCACTATGGAGCTAGTGCCAAAGAAGGAGGGAGCTCTGCAACCAAAAACGGTAATTTTTTTAAAAAACACTAGTGGTTCTTCTTACATCCTACTACTTTTTATTTATTTAAAACAAAAAGCTTTGTTCATTGGATGCATCTGTCATTCATAATCCATCCCTAACTGCCTTTCAGAAGTTGATGATGGGCTAACTCTGGGAAGAAGCAACAATCCATGCTGTTTAGACACAGTGCTGATCATTAGGGAGTTCCCAAAGTTTAACTCAGCATTGATGAAAAAGATGTACCACACTTCCAGATCAAAATAAACAGGATTTGGATGGGAAATTTGCAAGTAGGGCAGTTCACATATGCACTGACATGTCCTTCTAGGTGCCACTGTTGAAAAATCCTTGGCAACTTGTTGTAGTGTATATTGTAGATGTTACACACCACAGTCACAATGCTCCACTGAAGTGGAATGTTGAAGGTGGTGGATGAAATGTCTATCAAGCCAACTGGACAATGTAGTGTTGTTGGAATTCTCATCCAGTCAAATGGAGAGCACTGCAGTACACTCATGATGTGCATTTTATATGTGGTTAAAAGACTTTGAGAATTACTTGCTGCAGAATACCTAGCTTTTGGTCCAGTCCTGTAGTAGGCTAGTGACGGCCTCTAGGATGCTGTGCGCGTAGGCGATTCAGAGCTCGTAATTCTGTTTGCATACTAAGTAGAGGTGATGAGATTCTTGTTAGAGATGGTCATTCATGCCATGGAAATGCTAAACAATGTTATTTGCCACGTATCAGCCCAGACCTGAAAGTCGTCCGGTTTTTGTCACATACGAATTTAGCCAAATGGAGCATTTCACTGATTGTAAAAGGTGACAACATGACGACTTGAAAATACAGGCTAATATGTCAAACTAAATTCATGATAAATGCATCTCAAAAAATAGTGGAGAGCCAAATTCAGTAAACATCACATCATAACACTCCATAGCATAATAAATCCATAAGTTTAAAAAAATCTAAGCATTTTGCACGATACCATGTGGAAACAGATTAAAAAAGGATGAAAGACTGCAACTAGCACTTCACAATTCTATAACTGCACATTAATTTCAGATTCTACCTTTGGAACCTGGGCATTTTCCACTTCCCATTCTTGATACCAAGATCCATATAGGAATCTGATAATGGAAGTTCTAATTCTTCTGCCATATCTTTAGTAAGAACGCTAATCTTAGTGGCAGATTCATAAAAAGTAATCTGTTCCTTCAAGTCAGCCAGTTCTTCCTAAACAAATGAAAATAAAAGTTATGATTTCAATTCACACAAATTTAAAGGGACAAAACACTCATTACTTTCCAAGAGCTAATTTGGGCACAATGGAAGGACACAAGTCCAAAAGTAGGGAGAAGTAAATTTGGCAAGTTTCAACACAAGAACATAAACAGTATAAATCACATCTCAAGTGGTTATTATTTTAAAATTGCTGTAAACAAGAATGGTGTGTTCCTGTCGAAGTAGAGTCCTTATATTTCAGTTTGAATATTCAAATAGATAGAAAATCAAATCGATTCCACTGATGTAAAAAGCTTACTCTCACTCAATAATATCAACTCAGGAATTCTAGAAAACGTCAAATCGTACATCATTATTGTATCATAATACTTGTACATGATAAACTAGAGTCCATTGGAATCAGGGAGAAAATTCCCCACTGGTTGGGGTCACATCTACCTTAAAGGAAGATGGCTGTGACTGTTAGGGGTCAGTTATCTCAGCTCCAGGATATCACTCAGGCTAGATAGTATCTAATTCAAGTTGTTCAGTGGTGGTATTACACACCTCTCAAGCAGGTGGGACTTGAACTCAGACTTCTTGGGCTCAGAGGTAGGGACCTGCTCAAGAACACTTCATCTCTCAGTGTAGATATAACATCTCTGAATAGTTGATCTGGAAAATCACACCCCAATCACTCAGAGTAATGCCCTTGGTCCAAACACCTTCAGCTGCTTCAATGACCTTCCCCAATCATAAAAAGACTATAGTTGGGATGTTGACTGTGGATTGCACAAAATGCTCAGCACTATTTATAACTCCTTACATACTGATGCAGTCCGTGTCCACAGCCTCAAGATCTGGACATTACCTAGGCTTTGGCTGCCAAATGGCAAATAACATTCACACCATACATGCCAGGCAAAGACCACCTCCAACAAGAGAAAATCTAACTATCACTCCGAAATTCAATGGCAATAATGTTGCTGAATACTCACTGTCAATATTCTGGAGGTTACCAATGACCAGAACTAGACTAGCCATATAAATACAGAAGCTAAAAGAGCAGCTCAGAGGCTAGGAACTGAGGAAGTTCTGAGGAAGGGTCACCGGACCAGAAACGTTAACGCTGATGTTTTCTTCACAGATGCTGCCAGAACTGATGAGCTTTTCCAGCAACTTCTGTTATTGTTCCTGATTTACAGCATCTGCAGTTCTTTCGGTTTTTACCATCTAGAAGGACACTGGTGGTAGATACTACATCTTGCAAATTCCTCTCTGAGCCAATCACCATCCTGGTTTAGAAATATATCATTTCTTTATTGACACTGTGTCAAAATCCTGAAGTCCCTCAGTAACAGCACTGTGGTGTAACTGTATCAAATGACCTAGTAGTTCAAGAAGGCATGGTACATTCATCCTCTCAAGTCATTTAGGGATCAGCAAGAAATGGTGGCCCAGCCAGCAACACCCGCACCCATGAACAAATATAAAAACAAAATAGTGACAACCTGTAAAGCTTTGTTCATGCTATCACTTATGTTCTTGGCAGACTGAACTTGCTGAACTTGGATCCGAAGCTGAGCGATCTCCTGCACTGAACCTGGAACATATGTGCAACATAGTTTACAGTGCCGGAATTTAACATTAAACCAGTATTAACTCGATCATGAGTTGGAGACTGTGTTCTACAAGATTAAAGGTCCACTTGAGTGTTTGCGCTTTGGAAGGCTTAGCTGTCCCAAACAAATTCCACACCACTTCTGGGTCAAAAACAGCAATACTGTGACAACGAAACTATTACAAAGTCTCTGTAAAACATGGTGACTAAAGAAATGTGACATGGTTATAGATAAGAATAATCAAAAATTGTGGTTGACAGAAAGTAAATACATTCACAAAAGATTACTCTGCAGTTTTGATGCTGCATTTGTTTAATTATGTTGTTTCATGGGTTCCTAACCTGTTTGCAATAAATCTCTGCACTGCTGCTGACTTGCTTCTAAACTTCGAGTCAGTCCATTAATTATTTCTGCTTTCTCCAACTTTGCTGCTTCTTGTTGCCTTTCCAACTGTTTGACTTGTTCCTGAAGTTGCTTACAATTCTCTTGCTGACAGAAGTCAATAAAGAGAAAAAGGAAGTTTAATCATCATTTAACATTTTGAACTTAGCAAGTGACTCTCAAACATAGATGACTGTAAGCACAGCACACACAAAATTCATTTTGCAAGATCATTTTTTTTTAAAAATGATGTGGTATTTAGAAGATGTACACAAACATCTCATTATGTTTCAGTTGACATAATTCAGGCTTACTTTCCTTTTTATTGTGTCCCAGAACCTACATTGAAAAACATTCCCTTTTATTGCTCGATCCAATCGTATGTCTATGTTATTTGAAAGAATATATTTTTAAACAGGTAATTATTTTTATCAGGCAAACTTGTACAATAATTGCAGCAGTGCAGTACAAAACTTCACAAACAAATGGGTTAACTTCTAACCTGTTCTTCCAAAGCAATGCTTGTTGCATCAAGTGTCTGCTGCATGACCAAGGTCGATTCCTCATGTTTCTGCTTGAGTGCATAAATGACACTTTCATGCTGCTCTTTGACACGAGTGAGAGATTCTGAGCGACTGAGCTCAGACAGCTGTTGTTGCATACTTTCCATGGCTGCCTCAGCAATCTTCTGGTTCTTCATCGCCTGCAGTGAAATCCCAGCAACATGTATAATTGAGCAGAATATAAAATAATGATTCAGATTCAAAAGCATGAATTCCATTAGGACAATATAGGCAGAGGATTTTACACATTGTTGCTGTTATTCAAGGATAGTACGGTACGGTCCTCTGGGGAAGTACAAATTTACCTCTTCCGCCAATCTCGAAGAGGATACAGGCAGTCAAAATGTGATTCAAATCTTCTAGCAACGACAATCAAGTATGGTCACAGTAAAGGCTGATGCCTGACAGTTCATTACGTTTATGAAGGAGCAAATAAAGTACATCAAACTTGAATGAGAACAAGTCACAGGAAACCAAATCAAGAGTTTATGCCTTTCCAGGTAACGGTCCAAAAAAATTGTTTTACATGCAATACTGTGATTCTTTCCCCCCCCAAAGAGGTTAGTAGTAGTAAATATTTGCAATCTTATAAAGTATTTCGACTATATAAATGTAAATAGAATGGAACAGTGAATTAAGGATTTACAGTTCCAGAATCTTAACTTAGCTCAGCCCCGTTGGGTGCCTGCCACTTATAAATGGGCCAATGTAGAATGTGGTTTATATATCTCAAACTAATTTCTAGCAAGAATAGGATCATATCATAAAAATTGCTGTCTTTAGCAATTTCACTCAAAGGCCTGAAAGTGATAAGTTGGCAATGAAAGCAAATAAATAAATGTCTTACTGGTGCAATAGAACTGGTAGCCAGAGATTGAGCTGTGGCAGAAGATGGGACAAAGTAGAGGAGACTTTCCTCGGAATCTAGTAACGTGTGCCACACTAATACTGGATGCCAGAAATGAAAATGTACTGACTCCCAGCACTAACAACCATCACCCAACAGAATAAAACAAAGGAAAGTTAAATCTTGAGGACTGTGAACAAAGATAAAACAAAAAAGAGACCATATACATTTCACCTTAAATACTAACAATGGCCTGTATTTTGCCAAAGCAACAATAGTGCTATCAGTATTTGCCATCATTCCTCAAAGACTGATAGCAATCTCTGTATCCAAGTGCAGAAATCCAGAAGTTGCTGTCTGTAATACCATACTTCTCCACAAACTGTGCAGTTGAACTTCATGAAGTGCACAATCAACTGTGACAAGAATCAATAAGAGCCTCTCTTTTCAGGTCAGAATGTCTGTTAAATTCCCTGAAAGTCTTTTTGGAAGATATGTACCTGGGTTTCTAAAACCATCCAGACTGCTGAACAACTGTTCCAGCCCTGTGAAACCAATCCTTTACAAGGGAACGTCAATCATTTTCATCATACAGTTAAAAAATGTAATTTTTAAAAACTAACTTTTTTCAAGCTTGATTTTTCAGCTTGAATAAATTTCACGTTCTAATCATTATTTTGTTCTCTAAAATAATTATTAGAAAAGTAGAGATTAGTCTGTCATGTGAGACTAAATCAAAGCTTTTGGCTGCTTAGGCAGATTGACAACACCACTTTTTGGGTGTCAGGTATGCTGTATTGTGAATTAAGCACCAAGTCATGTCAAGAAAGTAGCCATCAATACCAGAGAGATCATTAGATCTCCATTGGCAGATAAACAGTAATTGCTGTGACATTGCAGTCAGCAGCAAAGCAAAGGTTGTTATTATGTTTAAACTGCGAATTTTATTGTTATGTAGTTGAAAGCAGCAATTGGAACAGCAATGAGATTAACATCTGCTTTTTGAACAATACCATAGGATATTTAGCATCCACATGAAAAGCTTAATATTATTTCTAAAGACAAATTTAGACAACAGTTCATTGCATCATTACGTGCACAAATCTCAGAGTGGGGCTTGAATGCATAAATAACATTAGCTTCACTCTGTTGACAGCATTCACACAATATAACCACACCACCATTTTGCACATTTTAGCTGTGCAGACAGCACACACAATCATATTTGAACAACTACATAATTAAACTTATGAAAAACTGCATGATTCTATCATTACATAAAATCAAGTGTACAAAATCACATATTCCTTTAACATCAGAGAGAATTTCCTCATTCAGTGCCCAGACATACTTGATCATCTAAGTTTAGCAAATGTCAAAAGGGAAGTGGTGAGACAGAATACCTGTAAGAGAACAACTGGAGTTCATAAAAGGAAACCAATTAGGATGATTCTTTTAGTCACGGGTCAAGCTTCTCACTTTACCATAATTCTCTCATGTCTAGACATCCTCCGTAAATCTCAAATTCGAGAACTGGAGGATAGCGAATGCAGTACCATTATAGGGATAAACTAGGGAATTACGAGTCAGTGACTAATGTCAGAGGTAGGAAAATTAATGGAAAAGAATTGAGGGATTGGATTAATTTCCACTTGGAAAGATAAGGTTAATCAGGAATAGTCAGAATGGCTTTGTCATGGGGGGTGGGGGGGAAAAGAGATCATGTCTGGTAGATATAATTGAGTTTTTCAAGGAGGTGATTAGCTGTGTGGTTGAGAGTAGTGCAGCGCATGCATCTACACTGACTTTTAGTAAGGCTTTTGACAAAGTGTCGCAAGGGACACTGGTCAAGGCGGTAAGGCCTCAGGAGGATCCAGGGCAACTTGACAAACTGGATCCAAAAAGTGACTCAGTTGCAGAAGACAGAAGATGACAGTTAAAGGTTGTTTTTGTTATTGGAAGCTTGTGTCCAGTGTCATACTGCAAGGTTTAGTGTTAGATCCCTTGCTGTTTGTAGCATAAATTAGTGAACTAGACATGAATGTAGGAGGTTTGACCAGCAAGCTCAAAGATCCTACCATAAATTGGCAGTGTGGTAAATAGCGAGGAGGAAAGACAGGCTGATCAGTTGGGCAGAAGAATGGCAAATGGAATTTAATCCTGAAAAAAAAAAAGAGGAGAGATGATGCATTTTGGGCGGTTTAATAAGGCATGGGAGCACACAATGAATGGCAAGGCCCTACGAAATTCAGAGAAACCTTGGTTTGCACGTCCACAGATTCTTGAAGGCAACAAGACAGATCGATAAAAGTGGTTAAGGCAGCATATGGGATACTTGCCTTTATTGGTGAAGGCATTACATACAACAGCAGGGACCTTAAGGTAGATCTGTACAAGGTAGAGTTAGGCCACAGCTGGAGTATTGTTTGCAGTTCAAGTTGCTACACTGAAGGATGTGATTGCACTAGAGAAGGTGCAGAGGCAACTCACCGGGATATTGCTGGGCTGGACCATTCCGGCTATGGAGAGACTAGATAGATTGGGGTTATTTTAATTAGAGCAGAGAATGCACATTCGCACCTTATGGAGCACAAAATTATGAGGCACGTGGATAGGGTACATAGGAAAAAACGTTTCCCTACAATAGACTGATCAATACCAGGGGGCACAGATTTAAGTAAAGAGGGTGTTGGCTATCTGCAATTCCTGGCCAGAAAGGGTGGCAGAGGCAGGAACCGTTACATTTAAGTTGTATTTAGATGATCACTTGAAGCACCATAGGATACAAGGCTATGGACCATATGCTGGAAAATGAGACTAGAGTGGATAGGTGCTTGGTGACTGGTGCAGACACGATGGGCAGATGGACCTCCTTCCGTGTTGTAAAACTCTAACTCCAGTTTCTGGGGATAAAGATTAAAACACACAAACCAAAGTTTTGTGCTAAATTATTTGACAACGGAGTCCCATTATCTTGAGGAGTCAGAAATGTTCTTTACACATCAAAACCTTGCTTTAATTCCTTTTTAAAGAAATGTAAAATTGGCAAAACGTGAACGTTCAATCACTATTTAGTTAACCTGATTTGAATTCTGCATTAGTGTTTAATTTATTGCAGTTAAGCACAAGGACGTACAGAGTTGCAGATATAGAGAAAACAAAATTCTTTGTACTTGCCTCTTCCTCACTGGCACTCAAGTCTTGAACTCTGGAGTCCAATGCTTTAATTTGGCCTTCCAGCTGAACTTCATGTTCTTTTGCATCTTGAAGTAACTTCTGCAACTCCTGACAACTAATAGCTACACCATCTTTTTCACCTGTAAGACACCAGACAGTTTAGTGAAAAGTGGTTTACTTCCTTTCCATTTACATTACAATTTGCAGTATTAGTGGCATATTCACCTCAAATAGTAACACAGCAAACAGACTGGCAGCTAAACCCCATGGTTCAATTACATAAGCTATGCACTTCAGTGTCATATTGCAGAAGTGTTGCATTACAGTAGCTGTTTTAACGAATGGAATATTATAACGATGCTCCACCTATTCGGGTGAAAAATAGCTTCCATACTCAAAGTTAAATATTTCTCCCTGTGTCCTGGCCAACAGTCACCCCTCAACCAAACCACTGAATAATAAAATTACATGATACTAATCTTGTTTACAAAACCTTAAAAAATGGTTGGTGCTTTTGCCTACACTTCCAAAACAACAGTGCTAATACTTCACAAGTAGTTAGTCAACTGTAAGTTTTTGGCTGTCCTATGCCTTGCACATAGAAGTTCTGTTTCGCTCGTGTCTCCACATAAAATAATGGACTGTTCGTGGGATATTCTCTTTAACCCCTTTAACTAACCTGCACATTTACAGTAATATTACCAAATTGATAGCATCTAAATGTTTCTAGCTGCTAAATGATTTATGTAAATATTCTGTACTTCCTTGAGATTAACACTATTAAGAGAATATTACCAATTAAACAAGAATGCCTATCATTTAAATGGAATAGTAACAGTATACCTTACACCTCCTGAGATTTAGACACTGTTACATTACCTTTTGTCATTGCAAGCTGGTGATTCAAATATCTGATCTCACGGGCAAACTCTTCCTGTTTGTGCTGCATTTCCTCTAAGTGCCTTCCCCGTGCATTGTAAAGTATCTGTAACTGTGCAAACTGATGTGCTTCTGTAGAAGCTGTAGAACAAAGATAACATTCAATTAAAAAGGAGCAAGATAGTAAAGCAAAAGTTTTTTGAAAATGAATTTATTGCAAAAAAAGGCTCATGTAAAACAATAATAAAAATATCTTCATTAATAACAACACAATATATCAAAGACAACAAGGTGCAGGGCTGGATGAACACAGCAGGCCAAGCAGCATCACAGGAGCAGAGAGGCTGACGTTTCGGGCCTAGACCCTTCATCAGAAAAGGGGGAGGGGAAGGGGGTTCTGAAATAAATAGGGAGAGAGTGGGAGGCGGATAGAAGATGGATAGACGAGAGGATAGGTGGAGAGGAAACAGACAGGTCAAAGAGGCGGGGATGGGGCCAGTAAAGGTGAGTGTAGGTGGGGAGTTAGGGAGGGGATAGGTCAGTCCAGGGAGGACGGACAGGTCAAGGGGGCGGGATGAGGTTAGTCGGTAGGAGATGGAGGTGCGGCTTGAGGTGGGAGGAGGGGATAGGTGGGAGGAAGAACAGGTTAGGGAGGCGGGGACGAGCTGGACTGGTTTTGGGATGCGGTGGGGGGTGGAGGGGAGATTTTGAAGCTAGTGAAATCCACATTGATACCATTGGGCTGCAGGGTTCCCAAGCGGAATACGAGTTGCTGTTCCTGCAACCTTCGGGTGGCATCGTTGTGGCACTGCAGGAGGCCCAGGATGGACATGTCGTCTGAGGAATGGGAGGGGGAGTTGAAATGGTTCGCAACTGGGAGGTGCAGTTGTCTATTGCGAACCCAGCGTAGGTGTTCTGCAAAGCGGTCCCCGAGCCTCTGCTTGGTTTCCCCAATGTAGAGGATGCCACACCGGGTACAGCGGATGCAGTATACCACATTGGCAGATGTGCAGGTGAACATCTGCTTGATGTGGAAAGTCTTCTTGAGGCCTGGGATGGGGGAGGAGGGAGGAGGTATGGGGCAGGTGTAGCACTTCCTGCGGTTGCAGGGAAAAGTGCCGGGTGTGGTGGAGCTGGAGGGGAGTGTGGAGCGGACAAGGGAGTCACGGAGAGAGTGGTCCCTCTGGAAAGCAGATAAGGGTGGGGAGGGAAAGATGGGTTTGGTGGTGGGGTCGGATTGCAGATGGCGGAAGTGTCGGAGGATGATGCGTTGAATCCGGAGGTTGGTGGGGTGGTATGTGTGAGGATGAGGGGGATTCTTTTTTGGTTTTTATTGCATGGACGGGGTGTGAGGGATGAGTTGCGGGAGATGTGGGAGACACAGTTGAGGGCGTTCTCAACCACTGTGGGGGGGGGGAAAGAGTTACGGTCCTTGAAAAACCCCTCCGCTCCAATCCCAACCTCACCATAAAACCTGCGGACAAGGGAGGCGCAGTTGGACTATGATGCGCTGACCTCTACATCGCTGAGGCCAGACGCCAACTCTCCGACACCTCCTCCTACCGCCCCCTTGATCATGACCCCACCCCCGAGCACCAAACCATCATCTCCCAAACCATCCACAACCTCATCACCTCAGGTGACCTCCCACCCACAGCCTCCAACCTTATCGTTCCCCAACCTCGCACTGCCCGCTTCTATCTCCTTCCCAAAATCCACAAACTTGAATGCCCTGGTCGACCCACTGTCTCCACCTGCTCCTGCCCCACCGAACTGATCTCCAACTATCTGGACTCCATTTTCTCCCCCTTGGTCCAGGAACTCCCTACCTATGTCCGTGACACCACCCACGCCCTACATCTCCTCCAGAACTTCCAATTCCCCGGTCCCCAACACCTCATCTTTACCATGGACGTCCAGTCCCTCTACACCTGCATTCCCCATGCAGATGGCCTAAAGGCCCTCCGCTTCTTCCTGTCCCACAGGCCCGACCAGTCCCCCTCCACTGACACCCTCATCCGCTTAGCCGAACTCGTCCTCACCCTCAACAACTTCTCTTTCAATTCCTCCCACTTCCTACAGACAAAGGGGGTGGCCATGGGTACCCGCATGGGCCCAAGCTACGGCTGCCTCTTTGTAGGTTACGTGGAACAATCCCTCTTCCGTACCTACACCGGCCCTAAACCCCACTTCTTCCTCCGTTACATTGATGACTGTATCGGTGCCGCCTCGTGCTCCCACGAGGAGCTCGAACAGTTCATCTACTTCACTAACACCTTCCACCCCAACCTTAAGTTTACCTAGACCATCTCTAGCACCTCTCCCCTTTCTGGACCTCTGTCTCCATAATCGGGCAACCAGCTAGAAACCAATATTCATTTCAAGCCCACCAACTCCCACAGCTACCTAGAATACTCCTCCTCCCACCCACCTTCCTGCAAAAATGCTATCCCCTATTCCCAATTCCTTCGCCTCCGCTGCATCTGCTCCCAGGATGAGGCATTCCACTCCCGTACATCTCAGTTGTCCTCGTTTTTCAAGGACCGTAACTTCCCCCCCCAGTGGTCGAGAACGCCCCCAACAGTGTCTCCCACATCTCCCGCAACTCATCCCTCACACCCCGTCCACGCAATAAAAACCAAAAAAGAATCCCCCTCGTCCTCACGTACCACCCCACCAACCTCCGGATCCAACGCATCATCCTCCGACACTTCCGCCATCTGCAATCCGACCCCACCACCAAAGACATCTTTCCCTCCCCACCCTTATCTGCTTTCCGGAGGGACAACTCTCTCCGTGACTCCCTTGTCCGCTCCACACTCCCCTCCAGCTCCACCACACCCGGCACTTTTCCCTGCAACCGCAGGAAGTGCTACACCTGCCCCCATACCTCCTCCCTCACCCCCATCCCAGGCCCCAAGAAGACTTTCCACATCAAGCAGATGTTCACCTGCACATCTGCTGTACCCGGTGTGGCTTCCTCTACATCGGGGAAACCAAGCAGAGGCTCGGGGACTGCTTTGCGAAATACCTACGCTCAGTTCGCAATAAACAACTGCACCTCCCAGTCGCGAACCATTTCAACTCCCCCTCCCATTCCTCAGACGACATGTCCATCCTGGGCCTCCTGCAGTGCCACAACGATGCCACCCGAAGGTTGCAGGAACAGCAACTCATATTCCGCTTGGGAACCCTGCAGCCCAATGGTATCAATGTGGATTTCACTAGCTTCAAAATCTCCCCTCCCCCCTACCGCATCCCAAAACCAGTCCCGCTCGTCCCCGCCTCCCTAACCTGTTCTTCCTCCCACCTATCCCCTCCTCCCACCTCAAGTCACACCCCCATCTCCTACCGACTAACCTCATCCCGCCCCCTTGACCTGTCCGTCCTCCCTGGACTGACCTATCCCCTCCCTAACTCCCCATCTACACTCACCTTTACTGGCTCCATCCCCGCCTCTTCGACCTGTCGGTTTCCTCTCCACCTATCCTCTCGTCTATCCATCTTCTATCTGCCTCTCACTCTCTCCCTATTTATTTCAGAACCCCCTTCCCCTCCCCCTCTTCTGATGAAGGGTCTAGGCCCGAAACGTCAGCCTCTCTGCTCCTGTGATGCTGCTTGGCCTGCTGTGTTCATCCAGCCCTGCACCTTGTTGTCTCGGATTCTCCAGCATCTGCAGTTCCTACTATCTCTGATACAATATATCAAACCATTTTTATAGGAAAGTTCACATTTATACGAAATGTCAGTTGCTATGCTGGCCCAAATATTTGTAGGATCATTAGATCTACCTCAGCTGAGATCACCAAAAACACCACAAGGAATAGAACGTGCATGAAAAGAACAACTACCCTAGAAATCTAGCAAACAAACCAGATTTTAATTACATAAAATATTGCAGAAGTAAAATACTATAGTTGCTAGAATGTAAGTTTATAGATAATTTTAACTATCTTCTAAAATTTGCAAATCCGAAATATTCGTTACCCTAACCTGTTTAATACAGGTAATATTCCTATTAAACCAATTAAATCTTAAAAAAAAACAACAATGAAAAGCAAGTCAAGCTTGTCACAATGTAACCTGTATGACTGAAAGGCATCAATAAAGAATAGATTCTCATTAAGAGACTTTTAGAAATTGCTGGAAAAGCTCAGCAGGTCTGGCAGCATCTGTGAAGAAAAATCAGAGTTAATGTTTTGGTTCCAGTGACCCTTCCTCAGAAGGGGGAAGCAACTTCTGTTTTTGTTTGATAAACAGCATCCACAGTTCTTTCAGTTTTCATTGAGACTTAATAGTCAACAAACACACTCTCCAATATGTTAGAGTTCAGTAAATGAGATGAGCTTACCACAGAATATGTTCACACTACAACTAAAATTAGTGCACTACTTGCAGGCCAAGCAACAAGTGAAAGACAGAGTGAAGCAATCTCACAACCAGTAGATCAGATCTAAGATCTGCAGTCCTGCTACATCCAGTCGTGATTAGTAGTGGACAATTAAACAACTCACTGGAGTCAGCCAGAAGTGTGGAGCGGATGATCTACCTTAGCCTCTTCCAATGGTTCCCAGCATCACAGATGCCAGTCTTCAGCCAATTCTACTCACTCCGTGTGATATCAAGAAACAGTTAGCAGTTAGAAACAGCACTAGATACTGCAAAGACTACGAGCCCTGATAACATTCCAGCAACAGAACTGAAGGTGCTTCAGAATTTACTGCAGATCTAGCTAAGCCACCACAACCTGATCAGGGAGGGAGGATTCTAGGAAGAATTGCACTTTAAACAAAATTGCATCTTAATTTTAGCTTCTATCCTAATATGTTTAAAAATCTAAAAAAGAAGTTTTTAAAGAAGGTGAAGGACAAGTCCTTTAACCAGCCAGATTTGCTGTGTGTGAAAACTTGAGTCGATTGGTTGTCAACCCGCTCACTGATACCAGTGCTGCTGAAAACCAAGACAAACATTTAATACAAGGTTTAAACCACCTTTGAAAGCAGAAATTCCCACTACAGATTACTAGCTCTTTGTTAGCAGCTTTCTTTCAGAACAACACTGTGTACCCTGGCTTCATCGCTGACAAAATTCCATCTGACAACAAAAAAAGTGATGTCTCTGATGATGGTGGCGGGTTGAACTGTTCAATGTCCCAATCCACCAAAAGGAAATATATTTGCAAAAGATCTTCACAAAGGCAGCAAAACAGATGGCTTTTGGACATTTGACAAATTGTTTTCTTCTGTTCCCTTCAAGGAGAGTCATAACTAATCTATAAATATTTACCTGTCAACAGCTAAGCAGTTTCTCCCATCCTTTCCTGAACTCATTTGCAAAAACTGAACTGTCAAAATTGGTATATCCTTCAATCCATGATTATAATATGATAAACATGATAATAATTAAATAGCAGAAAACACATGAAATCAGAAGTAACTGCTTACCTTCTCCACTATCCAAGAATTTGCTCTGCATTTGTTCAAACCTGTTGACTAAACTTTTTGCTTCATCTGGGTTAAAAGCCCCGTTAGGTGGATGAACAGCAGGGTAAGGGTTATACTTCACTTTGTATAGTTCCAAGGTTTCGTTAGAAATATTTTCATTTGCAATAAAATACTGTAGAAGGAAAGCAGGGAAAATGACAGTGAAGTATATAACAATTTTCTGTTGTAACCGCTAATACAAATACCAGCCGACAAATTTGACCACGTAGTTCATTAAATAACATTAATAATATGAACAAAATTGAATCCACAAAAGTACTTGGAGAATGCCTGAAGTAACAACAGATGGTCAATTGGCTTGACTCAGAAGATCAACAAACAAAAGAGTAATCATAATTATATTAAAACCAAAGGATGACTTGCCACCCAAATTCCAAAGTAAAAAACTGGTTTGTAGGCACACAGACAACATTATTATTCCAGAATGTGTAGACGGAGGGTGAAACCAGTTTTACTTTTTTCTTAGCTGAGGCATTGGCAGTGAACGTTTACTATTGGTACTTGTAACAAGCAGGATGTACTATAAAGGAAAAATTGGACAGACTTGGCCTGTTTTCACAATTGAAGAGTGACACTGATTCGATTGAAGTTTAAAACATCCTGAATAATCTTGACAAAGTGGACATAGTAATAACATTTACTCTTGTGGGTCAGTCAGAAACAGGGACACTTAAAACTAGGGCTTGCCTTTTTAGGACAGAGATAAGGGGAACTTTATTTCTCCCAAAGGGTTGTTCAATTTTGGAATAATGCCACAGAAGGGTCTAGAGGCAGGGCAATTAAATATTTTTAAAAGGCAGAAGTAGGCAGATTCTTGTTAGCCAATGGAATAAAAAAGGTAAATCGGGAGATAGATGAGTATGTGGAATCTCGAGTACGGTTATGACTCACTGGGACAGAACACTGGAAACTGATCCCCGCTATTCCCGTAATCGTCAAAGATTGCCAAGTTCCCCAATTTAGCAGACTTTCAGACCCATTGATAGAAAACATGGGCCAAGTTTCTGTATTGAACAAGAATGACTATTTATTCCAAGTAATTACACTCCAGTGTAAAGATAAAACAGTTATAAACCATCAGCATATAACATGAATTAAAACCCTAATCTCCTTATAAAGCACACACATACACAGAAAACAAAAAGGTCATATGGCAGAGGGGAGAAACTGGAAAGGCCATTTTTGTTGCAAGATTCTATTACTAAGATTATCTTTATGAATCCTCTGTTGGCCAACACGTTGCCTTCGTCATCTTCCTCCAGAAGCTTCCAGTGGTCGATAAGACACAAGGTGACTGGTTAACTTATAAAAAGTACCTGACCTATAAGTTAAAAGTCCCAGTTTTATCTTTCCCACAACAGTTGTTATAAGTTGGTTTTCTTCAAGTTTACAGTGTATTTTGACTGCAGCAAACAGAGAGCCCACTCCCGAGCTGGGGAAAAACTAAACACTTCTGTCTCTAACTTGTTCCCAACTCCAAGCATTTCAATTATCAGAAAACAAATCACACAGTTGTTGGCAGGCAAAAGGACTCAGTCATCAATAACTGGTCACTTGTCCATAGATGAATCAACTTCTTGTTACCAATAAAATCTGCATCTGTACACCCCTTTGGCTCCAAATCATCTGCTTGTTCAGACAATTGTTCACACAATGCCTACAATGGTTGTCAGGTTACTCACTTTCAGAACAGGCATCCATGCTTTCAAATACTAGTTTTAAAATAGCTCTCTCACTTCAGCCCAGTTTTCTCAACACCACAAAATAAAAAAAGACATGGTCCACATAACATGGACAGATCAGGCAAGATCTTATTGGATGGCAAAATAGGCTGAAGGGCCAAATGGCTTATTTCTGCTCCTAATTTGTATGTTTTTGGGTATGCCACTGTTTGCGCCATGGCCAAAGACACGTGATTGTTAATTCTCAACACAAATACAAGGTGCAGCATAATTTAACATGCATCTTGCATGTTCAGTGGTCTCCAATATCTTTAAACTCGAGATTTTCTTTGAATTTAAATACAATCCAGTATCTACCCATCTAAAAAGAGAAGAATAAATGGTTAAGTTTTGGTGTCAAAGACAGTCACAGAGATGCACAGCATGGAAACAGATCCTTTGGTCCAACTTGCCCATGCCAACCAGATATCTTAAATTAATCTAGTTCCATTTGCTAGCATTTGGCCCATATCCCCTCTAAACCCTTTCTAATCTGATGGGCACAAGATGCCTCTTAAATGTTGTAATCGTACCAGCCTCCACTACTTTCTCTGGCAGCTCATTCCATATAAACACCACCCTGTGTCAAAACAATGACCCTTAGATCCCTTTTAAATATTTCCCCTCTATGCCCTCTACTTTTGGACTCGCCTATCCTAGAAAAAAGGATCATGGCTATTCAACCTATTCATGGCCCTCATGATTTTTATAAATCACTATAAGGTCACCCCTCAGTCTCCGACGCTCCAGGTAAAATAGTCCCAACCTATCCAGCCTCTCCCTATAGCTCAAACCCTCCAACCCTGGCAACATCCTTGTAAATCTTTTCCTAATCCTTTCAAGTCTCACAACATCTTTCCTATACCAGGGAGACCAGAACTGAATGCAATTTTCCAAAAGTGGCCTAACCAATGTACTGTACAGCCACAACATGATCTCCCAACTCCTGCACTCAACGTACTGACCAATAAAGGCAAGCATACCAAACACTTTCTTCACTACCTTATCTACTTGCGACTCCACTTTCAAGGAACCATAACCTGCATCCCAAGGTCTCTGTTTGACAACACTTCCCAGGACCTTACGATTAAGTGTACAAATCCTGCCCGGACTTGCCTTACCAAACCAAAATGCAGCACCTCACATTTATCTAAATTAAACAACATCTGCCACTCCTTGGCCCGTCTGATCAAAGTCTTGTTTTACTGAGGTAACCTTCTTTGCTGTGCAATACACCACTAAATTTGATGTCATCTGCAAACTTATTAACCATACCTCCCATGTTCACACCCAAGTAATTTATATAAATTAATCTAAAATTAAGTACATATGATTATTCATGTTACCCTCTACTGACCAAGTCTCAGCCTACCTACAAGTGCATATTATCTGCCAGTGCCTTGAAGGCTGGTTTGTAGTTAGTGACTGCTGGTCATATACAATCTATCAAATGGGTATCTGAGAGGTGGGTGCAATACTTGGATTTGATAATCTTCATTTGGGAGAGAAATGTGGAGCCAAAATAAGCTTTCACTTTAAAAGCATAGGATGACAGGAGTGGGTATTTTTCTGTTTATGATTCATCAAAAATCACTGTCTTTTGAACTAACTTTGAGCTCACTATCATTTGTATAGCAATTATCTCCATTAAATGATTCCACTGATGAAAACCAACACACTAACACATACTTGAAAGAACTGATTTGAAATAAACGTGACAATTTGTTCCATTGCAACTAGTTTCCAAAAATCGCTTATTGAATTCCTCTGTGCACACCTGAGGAAGTTAGCAGATGTTTTCTGGATGGAACCATTTTTCATCATCTTTGACATTTTCTTTAGACTCTGGAAGTGTTGCAGTTTTATTTGGAGATGCACAGACTCAGTTTCATTTTAAAATATATTTGCAGCACTGATCCTATCTGCTAAATGTCTGTCCTGTTGTTGCAGTTCACAGTTCAGCCTGTTCAGTTTTGATTTTATCTCTGTAATGAATCCAAAGTCGAGCAACCCTGCATTGTCTAACAGCCCACTGCACGTCATACCTTGATTTAACAAACGTGACAATTTCAGGCATCAGATCTAAAAATCTTTGCAGGATCTTCCCTTGACTTAATTAACCCACATCAGCATGGAGGATTACTTCACTGTAGTCAGCAGTGAGTTTGTCAAGTAATGACTTAATAAAGCAGAGCCATTACTATTTCTTTGCTCTAAAAGATTTTGTATAAAATATCAATGATCACAGCCATTTCTTCTTTAATTATTTACCCAGTGAATGATTTGCATTTTGCCAGATGACAAAAGCAAAATAATGCTTCAATGCAGGCCTTCCTTTTTGCTGCTGGTTTAGAAAAAAAAAAGCCTGTTGAGCTTTCAAAATGATCTTCAGCTCGTCAACTTTCTTTACCCAAAGCATGCTCTTCAAGGGAAAATTGAATTTACTGTGCATCATCGTTTAGCGTTGTTCCAAATTTCCCTTAACAATCTGTATATTTTGGTGATATACAAGACATTCATTTCTTCTAGTTGTGAACAGAAATTCTGCGAAGTTGCATATTTTTGTTTGTTTAAGATAGTCCAGGCTCATCGCTGAACATTATTTCTTCATCTTGTTTGTAACGTAACTCTGCCACTGGTCATGCTGCAGGTAGGCCTCTGGATCATCCATATAACTGCTGGCTGTTTTCAAAGTGTGAAGGCACAGGAGGTCACATCTGTTGCATCCAGTACCCTGGTCAGCTTGTGTTGGTTGCATTTGGATGAGGGGCACGGCAACATTCCCTGTAAATTTTCTTTGTTCTACAATGGACCTATCAGGTAAGCACGTGAAAAGGGAAAAAAAAAAAACACAGGTCGAGAGAGAATGGGCAGAGAAGTGGGACTAGCTGAACTGCTTTGCAGAGTCCGGATGAGCTGAATAGTCCCTTAATATTTCTAGTACCGTAACATACTGGCTTCACTCATCATCAGTTCCTAAGATATTTCTTATTCATTTGCCTGGATGCCACCACAAAAAACTTACTTTACCCTGCACTAAAAAGTGAAACTTGTCTCAACAAGCTGGCAATGCCCTTTAACAGCTTGCACTTTTCTTTTGTCACCCAGCTTCCAGCAGCAAAAATAATGGAAACACTTGACGACTGATATTGTGCATGGTGAGATACGTGGGCAAACAGTGAGATCAACTATTTCAGACTCTGCCATCAACCAATTGATCTTGACTTATCTGTTAGAGACCATGGCTGTGTATAATACATAAAAGTAAGCAAGTTAAAAAAAAACTAATGAGAGGTTACAAGAATTATAAATGATTTATAATAAGACCTGGATTGTTGCCAAGTCAGGCTATCAATAGGAAGTTTAAAATAATCACAATAATTAAAAGGGGAGATTACGAAAAAACATTATGGCTTGGTTGGTTAGAATATGGAATTCTCGACAATAAACTGTCTTGAGATAGTCTGTAAAAGGGGAATTACATGATTTTAAAATAGGAATATTAAACTGGCTAGAAAGTGAATAGAAGCATTGGTTTGAATTAGATGTGGTGATTCAATTGGGCCAAACTGTCTAATTCTGCAATTAGACATTCTAGGATTGCTATAATCAGCTGGATACATCACGTGCTAAAAAGTGGACTGGATTTTTTTTTCCCTTTAAAGAACAACATGATTGTTATTTGAAAATTCGAATGATGAAATGACAAAGAACTTTTGTATTAGAATGGCTCAAGTATACTAACATGAAATTATAATTTATATATTTGATTTATAATTTGATCTTAGCACCCATTAGAGGCCCTACCATAATAAATGTTCAAATTGATCTTAAGTTGAGTCCAGTAAATAAATGAGGGCTGAACACAGATAAAGTTTAAATTATTGCATGGAAATGAAAAATATAGCATCTCCAGGAAACAGCGAATTCAGAATGCCCTGTAGAGTGAAAAGTTTTTAATATGCAGTTAGTTATAAAAAGACCAAAAATCAAACTGCAAATGATGCCTTTGTTATACTTATTCCATTGAAAGAATCAAAATTGTGCTCTGTAGCTTAACTTTCACAAACTCTCCCACATCATTTTTGATTTTGAGAATTATATCCATGCTCATGGAATACAAGATTTGTTCATACTCGGGGCATTATACGTTCTCTTCAATCATGCTTCAGCTGTAGAGTCAAAATTTGATTTACACCTCCTGGACAATGAAATTGCAAGCTTTGAGGAACAACTTCCTTCTGCACCTGGGTATCAATTCCATTTTCAAACTCAGTCTTCATGATCTGAATAAAGACTGACTACTAGTGCTGAGTTAATGGCATTGTGTTTTTAAACATTTGCAGTCTTGTGCAGTAAAAAGCTGAATTTAAGAATACCTAAACCAATCTGAAGAAATACAGATATCACAGTTACAATTCAAGTTGTGCAGGAAGCAGGACAGTGCTCTTTCTGCTCCAATTTTATTTGGCAATATTGATAAAGATTTATGAAAACAAATGGTCTGCAATAAATTGCCTATGGTGAGATGTGACTAGACCATGGATACAAATCAAACAGGAACTAATCTAAAAGGCACCAATTAAATTCAACAAGATATGCCAGAGATTATCTACCTGTAAATGTTCTCTTTGGGCCCTTTGATTTGGAGGGTAATCTGGCATTTTCCCCAGCTGCTCACTTTGTCCATTACCATTAGTCAGTCCATTAAATGTAGCCATGTTTGCTTGCAGGTTGAGTGCAAGAATGGTTATATATATGATTCAGACCAGTTGGTAATGGTCTGAATCATATTTTCTCACCTAAAACACCCTCATTTGTGTCCACACTTGCGAATCCATAACAATTGTTTTCTTACATGTATTGATGCTCATTTCGTGATTTTAATTCCATTTGTCAAGAAGTGACTCACTGTCAGGCTGATATTCATGATTTTTCACTTGTTCATCTTCGGCTTTGTACAGTCCCTCTGGTATTGCTCAAGTACAAAATCTTCATTGTAATCTTATTCCAAAATATATTTTATGGGTAATTTGATAATTACTTTCAAGAATGGAATTTCTATTTCAATTTTCAACAAATGTCAATCATCGAGAGAAACCAGAGCAATGGGCCCAGACAGTAAGCATCAGAAAGCACATGAATTGCTTATGAAGCATTTTTCATTACTCTCTGGCAGCCTGTCACACCAGCAAAACATTCACTTGCTCCAATACAAAATAATACATTGCCATAGCTTTGTTTGCCATTACATTAAAATGTGTGAGATTTGAACAGCTCCAATATACAGCATTTAAAAATTAATAATAGAAATACCCATTTTAACTAGATCCATAATTATTAAAGTTTGGTATATTAAAATGCATTCAGGTCAATTCAAAATAAACTTACTCCATTCTGTCCTTTGTATACTGGATATTCAGTAGAATAACTATCTTTATCCACTGCAATGTTGCTTACTTCCTGTTCATTCCAATTTCTCTTCTGTTCGCAGGTTTGTTCAACACTATAAAGATAATGATTTGTTGAATGTCACAAATTTAATATTTTCAGCAATGCACGTTAACAATTTAGACGTCAGTCTAAATAAAGTCCCAGTCCTATTATTTTGTTGCGTGGTATTGACAAGGCACAACGGCAGTGCGTGGTAGCAAAGTGATACTGCAGGAGCAGCAATACTAAAAAACAGATAATTCCAGGACTGTAAAAGCTTTTAAAATATATCCAGAAATTTCTCTTAACTGTTTTTTATGATAAACAAAAATGCAAAAGACTGACACCGCAGGAAAGAAAGTGTATTGCTGTGGCTACCTAAAATGATGATTAGGCTTTGTTAAATGTCTCTGTCTGAAACAATTAAACAGTTTGTACATTAGAGTGCATATGTCATGACATGCATTACATCTATCCAATTACACAAAGTGTAGGAAAGTTAGTGGAAATTCCAAGACCGAATTGTAGAACTAAGAGGATTAAAAAGACAGCAATGGGATATTATTTTATCACTTAATTTGAAGGCAGAACAGCTAATTAATTATTACTAAATAGACTGATCTTGGAGGTTTTGAAGGCAAGAGTTAATGATTCATAGGAACGTGGTCGTCAGAAACAGCCTCAGGAGACAAATGTAATCTAGACTGAAATCTAGCAAAATTCAGCATGGAAGAAAACAACAATGTTTTCTCTAACTGTAGTCTTCTCTCACCTGTTCCTTTCTTTACCTTCCAGTCCAGAATAAAATATATAGAAAATCTGCATTAAAAACTTTCAACCCATCCTGTATGTTGCACAATTTGATGATCAAAGTCAACAATTCCCAGTTCTACTATGTCAACCCAATTACATTTACTGCAAATCTATTTATCCTGTACCCGGATCAGGTATGTGTGTATGGGAATATAGAAGGAGTAGGCCAGTCAGCCACTTGACACTGTGCTGCCATTCCAGATCACAGCTGACCATATGCTTCAATTACATTTTCGAATGTTACACCCATATGCGTCAATGTCATAATTATAACTATCAATCCATCAATTTTTGTCTTGAACTTAACTTGATGACAACTTCTAAAGCCTTTGGAGTAGAGAATTCCAAGGATTCACCCTGAGTGAAGAATTTCCATCTCACCCAGTCCTAAATTATTTATTTTATTCAGAAATTATGTCCCCACTTCTAGATCCCACAATAAGGGAAAACATCCTTTCTGCATCTGTTCTGTCTATATCTTTAATCATTTTCTAAGCTTCTGCAAGATTGCCTCCCATTCTTCTGAACTCCAGAGAACACAGGCCCAAGTCTCCTCAATCTTCCTTAAAAATCTGACCTAGCATCTCAGGAATCAGTCAGGTGAACGTCCACTTCACTCCTGCTATAGTAAGTTCATCTCTTTCTGGGCAAGAGACATGCAATACTATTAACAAATACAATTAATAAAATGTATTTTTGAAGTATTGAGTTTGAAGGGATTTAACTAATTCTTAAATGAAGGGGACAATCAATATGTAGAGTGGTTGCATTCTTTCCTAATTGACATGTTCCCGTTGCATTAGACAGTGCAATATCATACAATCAACAAATAGTCATTTATCTTTGTACAAAATATGCAGGCATTAAAAACTTGCAATCAATTTTTACATTGTTGTCAGAATGAATTTCATAGACTGCATTTTATTAGGTTGCATTTTTGGTCATCACATTCTTTAACAATTATTACCTATGTGACAATACAATGGCTTTAAGAGGTGTATTTTGTCCTGATTTTTCATGAAGAGGGATTGAGGCACAAGTGTGGAGTGGTCTGCTTAAAGCTATTAAAGTAAACAGCTAGTGAGGCTTCAGTTTTTTTTAAAAAACGTTGGAACAATAGAATCAGCCTGAATGGGTGGGGACAAGCTCCCACAGAACCAGAGTTCTTAAGTTTAGCTTTCAGCAGCAGTTGCTGGATGTGGAAGCTCTTTCCTCTCCCTGTTACAGCTGAAAGCTTGGGTCTCTTCCTGCTGCTAGAACTGCTTGTGAGACAACCTATTTTATTGAATTAGCCTTTACCAAGTAAGTGTTTATTGATGTTACTATATTAGAACAGATGTTGTTTAATCATTACATAATCTATCATTCTGATAAGTTTTCCAATAGAGTTTGTTTTTCCAATCCTTTCTTCTGTTTGTACTTTAGCTATATAGTGTAAGAATACAGCACATTTTGCTTCAAGCCTGATAGTGAGACCAACTGAATTGCATGCGGAACGCAATGCCTGGCACTTGCCTTTAAAAGAAGAAAAGGTTAGGGTCTGAGCTAGTCAACACTGAGCAAAAAAAGGCAAGTGGAACACATTCAACACAGAAGAGAGGAAAGCCCTGGAAAGACGAAAGACAGGAACATTGTAATCTTACCAGTGGACAAAGGATGCATGACAGTAATCATCAATTGAGCCCAATTATTTGGGAAAGCTAACGCACTACTAGCAGACACAGACATCTACCAACAAATGGCGATAGACCAGACACCACAGTTAGGGAACCGGATTACAGCGACCCTGAAGAAATTACACAACTCAGGAGACATCAGCAAGACGACTACCAAGAAACGAAGCCAGAGGGATCCAACACACCCCGCTTCTACGGACTCCCCAAGGTACACAAACCAGGGGTCCCCTTCAGACCCATTATCTCACTACCAGGCACACTAACATATAGACTTGCCAAAGGACTACAACAGAAATTAAAATATTTAGTGACACAATACCCACTCCATCCGTTCATCCCAAGACTTCCTCAACATCACCAAGGACACCAGGATAGAAGAGGACGATGTGACGATATCCTTCAACGCAACAGCACTATTTACATCTATAAACATTGACCTAGCCAAAAAGGCAATTGCCACACTACTAGATGAATCAAGTAGGCAGGCACCCCAGGACACCAACATCAATAAGGACACCACCATGAAACTACTAAATCTGTGCCTCACAACCCACTTCACCTTCAATGACGGCATATACAAACAAATCAACGGAACACCAATGGGATCCCCAATATCAGGGTTCATTGCAGAAGCTGCAATGCAAAGGGTAGAATGAACAGTGCTCCTCATCATACAACCCAAACTCTGGGTCCGATATGTAGATGATAACTTCGTGCTTATTAAAATGCACAAAACTAGAAGAAACCTACCAACACATAAACAAGGTGCAGGGCTGGATGAACACCTTGTTGTCTCGGATTCTCCAGCATCTGCAGTTCCTACTATCTCTAACACATAAACAACATCCTTACCGGGATAAAATTCACAAAAGAGGAGAACGACCACCGACTACCCTTCTTGGACGCAATGGTAGAACACAAAAACAGTGGGGATTGTATACATAGAAAGACCACACATATGGACCAGATACTCTATTACACTCTCAACCACCTCAACGCCCACAAACGAAGCTGCATCAGGACACTATTTAAATGAGCCACAACACATTGCAGCAACCCAGAACTACGCAAAGCAGAACAGGAGCACCTATCCGGTGTCTTCAAAAGGAATGGATACCCGAAAAACACAATCCACTATTTGCCCCGACACAGACCACACACAACCAGACTCACTAATCACCCTCCCTTATATCAAGGATATTTCAGAGATGACTACAAGACTACTCAGACCGTTAGGTATCAGGGTAGCCAACAAACCAAAACCCATCCTACGACAGCGACTGATGAATGTAAAGGATCCCATACCCAAGAACAGCAAAACCGGTGACATACAAAATACCATGCAAGGACTGTGAGAAACATTACAAAGGCCAAACTGGAAGAAAACTGACAACACGGATACACGAACACCAACTAACCACCAAAAGACAAGACCAATTCTCACTTGTCTCACTACACACGGACAATGAGGGACACGATTTTGACTAGGATAACACATCCATAATCGCACAAGCCAAACAGAGACACACCAGGGAGTTGCTGGAGGCCTAATATTCTAACCGGAATTCTATCAACAAACACACTGAATTAGACTCTGTACAAACCACTGAGAAACAGAACCAGAAGCGGTACCAAAGACCCCAACAAACTGAGGTATACAAATAACAAGCGGGACAGAACAACGATACATCACCGGAGGCACACTGACGATGTTACCTACTCGGGTGACGAAATGTTTGCAACCAAACCCCTGGCTCAGCGAGCATGTCAACAACCTCAGCTTATTTCCCTACCTCCACGGCATAATTATACCCAGTGAAATACTGTCTATTATGCTAGAACGTCACACTAGATATATAAAATTACTTTTCAAAAATAATGTTGCACATAAAAAGTCTTTTTTTCTTACCCATTATTGACATTACAGCCAGAGTAATTCAATTCTGGAGAAGAAATGTCTCTGCTATCCTCCAGCATGTCATCTGGAAGACCGGTCATCAGTAACTGGTGGAGCTGGGATTAAAAATATCACCAATTCATTAGATATTGTTAATGTTATTAAATTAGAGAAATACCATTTCTAATTTTCTATTGAACGTTACACTAGCAATTGTGAATCCAAGAAAACAGATTTTAATCTTGTTTCTTTAATATGGAACACAAGTAACATTAGTATTAAAACTGAAAATTTTTTAACTTTACATTCATGATCAGCACTTGCTTTCCTAACCATATACTAGCATATTCTCTCTCCACCATAATGCAAAAGTTCAAATGCACACTGGACTGGATTCACTTTCTCTCAACTGTAAAAGGGCATACATGAAAAAAAAAAAATTGTTGCTCTCAAGCCAATGCCTGGAAAATGCAGGCCACAGTAAACCTCCACAAAACTTGGTTTAAATTAGCACCAAAACAAAAAAATTCTACTCAAAAGAAAAACTCCTGCTTTCCTCTTTATGAACCAAATGTCTTTGGTCGGAGGAGATCGGGCCAAAGGGCTTGTTTCTATGCTGCACATCTCGGAGATAATCAAAAGACAATTCTGAACTGGGGATTAAAGAAATTTTCCACTTAGATGGCTTGGGCTCCAGTTGTATATCAGAAACAGCAAATCACTATTTTTTCTTGACTGCATGAGTTTATGATACAATACAAGAAATAGTTAACTTTATATAACTTCTAACTTGGTCATATTTGATTTCTAAAATGACATATCAGGGAAATGGTGGTATTGTGGTAATTTCACTGGACTAGCAAACCAGAGGTACAGTCTAATGCTTTGGAGACCCAAGTTCAAATGTGACTACAGCAGCTGGTTGAAATAAAATTCAATTAATAAATCTGAAATTTAAAGCTAGACTCAATCATGAAATGGTGACCATGACAACTGTAATCAATTGCTGTAAAAATCCAACTGGGTAACTAATTGTCTTTAGTGAAAAAAATCTAACTGGTGTCACCTGGTCTTGTCTACAGCAACGCAATCAACAGTCACCTGCCCCCTGCAGGGCACTCAGTTCAAGGACAGGCAACAAATATTCACCACATCAGAGACACCCATGCCCATAAAAGAAAATAAAAATGTAACTAACTGTACTATATATTCAATAAGCTGTGCCAAACAGGAAAGAAGTCAGAAGTAGTAAGCACCACTGTAAATTATTTTTTTTTGCAAGGCTATAAAATCTTCCACTCAAAGGACAGGATAGGATTGAAGCTTGCAATATTGAAAACATTAGCACTGAAACATATTGCTAAACAAATGACATGACAAGTTAATGTGAAAACTGAAATCCACTTTATTTTATTTGTATCCTTCAGGTGGCAAATATAGGTTCTTGTAACAAAATCCACATTTATGCAAAAGAATTAATGCTAAGAAAGTATGAGTTAATGACTCTCTGGGCACTTCATCAAAATGTCACACTCTATTAACATTTATTGCAAGTTTACGCTGCCTGAAGGAAATCACTAGGAGAAAGGGGAGCTTCCTTCCCCCTCCCCATTTCTGAAGGGTCCTGACCCGAAATGTTAACTTTCCCGCTCCTCTGATGCTGCCTGGCCCCCTGTTTTCCTCCAGCTCCACACTTTGTTATCTCCGACTCCAGCACCTGCAGTTCTTGCTGTCTCCGAGTGTTTAATCACAGTTGTCTTGCTAGCAATCTGCCTTGGTGTGGACAAGGATCGGGAGCAAGACATCAGGTCAGGTAGCACTACAGTAGGCTGATGCAAAGAATTGGAATGAGAGGAAAAAAGGTGCAGTCCTGAACCCATCCACATACTGAGTAGGTACTGGATACCGCTCCTTTCCATTTCCAGCACTTCCAATGACATGTCCCCTCACTCAGTTCCTGAACAAGGCTGAAATATGGTGATGGGAACCCCACATCTTCATTGGAGTTGGGTGCAAGGAACCCACATAAAATGCTTCATAAAAATGATATCTATTTAGACATCATGTGCTAAACCTGCCAGCATACCCAATTCAAAATATGGCTATTAACAATTAGGACCAAAATTGTTTGTGAACACGCAAACTTTCCAACTGAATAACATATCAACCAAACAATACCTGTTTACGTTGGTCAATGGAGATTATTCTGGTCAACCAAGAGAGCTTTTTTAGAAAATAATTACCTAACTTAGTATACTTACATAATACAGCACCTGAATATAGCATCTAGTTACAATGACACAGCAATTTTCTTGAATAGCAAGTGATATGTGCACTGTACATTTTCTTCTAGTTCTTTTGTTCAGATTCTAGATATATGGTGAGCGGCCAGAGTTAGTATTTCTTTATAATCAATGTTTTTCATTTCAACAGCTGCTTGGAAACATGGTAAAATGAAAAACTGATGTCCGAGATCAATTTTATGCATTGAAGTGAAATTGATTTTACTTGTTCTTTTGATCAGAAGTGTAGTAAAAATTCTGATTAGTTTTACAAAGCACGACAAGAGAAAAGGGAAAGAGAAGAAAATGTTAAACAGTAAAAAGATTTGCATCCAGAAATACTCGAACAGACTACCCTACTGTGAAGGGGTAAGAACAGCTGCAAGATTAGAAATTACTTATAAAACGAAACAAGAAAACTTTGTTTGCAAAACAGGAAGAGCAGTTAATAAGAGAAAAAAAATGCACTCTGCACCAAGGTCCCAGTGATGCAGAGATGCTGAGCTGAGGCTGTTGTAACCCACTTTGTTAAATCTACATTATAAAACAAAAGGAGCATCAAAACTGCTACTCTTGCCTCCTGCCACTCCAGAGCCCTTATTCATAAAGAGGGTTTGGGAGAGGAAAGTAGTGAGTGGGAGCATGTTAAAAAAACATGGATTATAATCACTCCAGCTCAGTACTTCTGCATATTGAGACTAACTTCCACAAGCCCACAACTCCAGTGTTGGATCGGATCTGGATCTTGATCTTGGACAGGAACCACACACAGGAAGGGAAAGCAGCAAGACCCTGAATTAGGAGTAGGATGGGGTGGCCGCAAGTCTGAATGTCAAGTTGTTGGTGGGGGGGGGGTTAGATCTACATCAACTGAAAGGTGTAAAAAGGCAAGGTTTGCAGTGAGGTAGAGCTGTGCCTTTTTAAAAATTTTAAACCTTTAAACCAAAAATAAATGTTTTTTCCAACATAGGAATTTAATAACGTAAAGCATCACTTTTTTTTTCCTCTGATAAAAGGAGGGTTCCAACTACAGCTGGTACATTGGTTTTAGTGAGAAAGTCAGATTCGCATGAAATAGTTTTGATTGGAGTAGTAATTTTCAGGAACGTAATCACAACTTTCGGTGTGGACATGCTGTCTTTTGTGGGTATAAAGCAAAAACTTCAAGTATTTAGAGACATTGTTATCACAGGATAAAAAATTCCAATGCCACACCAAAACTTGTAGTGTAACACCCAGTCCCAATAACTTATGCAGTTAACTAATCTGAATAAGCACTTTCAAACTTTAGGCAGAAAGTCTACGTTGATCAAATTATGGGGTTTTTAGTGACCATAAACTGAGCTGAACTAGCCATATAAAATGCTGAGACTACCAGAGAAGGTCAAAGGCTTTAAAACGTGCAACTCACCTTCTGTCTTCCCAATGCCTGTCCTCCATTTGTAAGGCACAAGTCTGACGCATGCATGAATAATCTCCATTTGCTTGCATGGGTGAAGCTCCAACAAGAAAGTCAACATCATTCAAGAGAATGCAGCCCTGCTTGACTGACACCCCTTCCATCACCTTAAACATTCACTTTTTTCACCACCAATGCGCAGTGGCAGCAATGTGAACCAGCTACAAGATGCTCCATGGTAACTCACTAAGCCTCCTTTGACAGCATCTTCCAAACCTGTAACTTCTACCACCTAAGAGTGCAAGGGCAACGGATGCATTGGAAGGTCATAACCAGTTAAAATCTCTATCCCTGCAAGCCACACACAATCCTGACTTGGAACTATATTACTGTTCCCTCATTGCCACTGTGTCAAAATCCTGGAACTCCTTTTCTAAGAGCACTATGGATATCCCTACACCCCACAAACTGAGTTCAAAAAAGGCAGTTTAGCACCACCTTCTCTAGGACAATTAAGAATAGGCAATAAATGCTTGCTTACAGAGCAACACCCACATCCCATAACAAAAATATAAAGTAGTATTGTATTATTTGCTAGCAACACTTTTTTAAACGGATGGATATTACTTTCTAACATTAACTCATGGTATACAAGCACTGATTGACAAAACAATTGAATTCTGTGTATTAAAACACCATTAACAATTCAAGCTTATGGACAGATGCAGTATGTGTTTTTTCAGTCTCCAAGAATCAAATTAACAGCATAGCTAGTATTGGGTTTATAAAGACCCGCAAATGAAATGGTTACAATGTACCAAATGACAACATTGCTTTTTGCAAGTTAAAATAAAAGGACAGAGATCCACTATAAAACTTTTGAAATTGATTTTCTAAAGTTTCATGCATTTCAATATGAAATACATACTAGAAATAGTCTAAAATATTTCTATTTACCAGCACATGGGGAAGAGAAAAGGCTTTACACAACCTAAAAATAGGTGGCATTTGGGGGGAGGAAATTAGTGTTACCTCTTGCTCTCGTTCATAATCTTCCCTGTCATACTCCTCGTCTTCATGTTGGGTTGGCAAAGCCACGCTGTCAAAGTCCATGGACATCATCAGAGGTTCTTTAAGAGAAATAACCCTAACAGAAGTGTAGAAAACAATTCTTTGTTTAAAATTCAAACTGTAATTACATCATTGACTTCCAAACATAGATAACTAACATAAAACAAAGAATTGTGGATGCTGGAAAGCAGAGTTAACGTTTTGATGGGAGGCTGGTGTGAGGCTGGAAAGGCACAGCAGGTCAGACAGCATCCGAGGAGCAGGTAAGTCAACGGTTCGGGCTGAAAACCTTCATCAGGACTCACGTGAAGTGACTTCACCTGACGAAGGGCTATGCTCCAAAAGCTTGTGATTTCAATTAAACCTGCTGGATTATAACCTGGCATTGTGGGACTTCTGACTTTGTTTACATAACATTAATATTTGGATTTAATCACTACTTTGATATTGTGAAATATAGTATATTGTTACACTATGTAGTTCTAAACTTCTGGTACACGTTGGTGGCAATTTCACCCCTAAGTCACAAGATCCTAGGTTTAAGTCATATTCCAAAGCTTCAGCACAAAAATGAGCAATATCCAGCTTTCACTGAAGGTGTATTACATGCCCAAAATGCCATTTTTCAGATGAGATATTAGAATTAAAGGTTCCTCTGCTTGCTTTGGTGGATGTAAAAGCTCCCAAACTGAATATCAAAAGAGCTCTCGGGTTTATCATAAAAGTGTCCTGGCCAACATTTCCTCAAACAAAATAAAAAAAACACATCTGTTCATTATCACATAAGGGAGTTTGCTGTGTGCAGCAATTTTCAAGTTACAACAGTGTCTACACTTCAAAACAATGGCTTATCAGCTATTAAAGGATTTTGAGACATATGATGGTCATTTAAGTCTCTGTAATAAATACATAATATAATTAATACTGATATTGTAAGAACATCTTCTCTTCCAGGGTCTCTCTTCGTTATCCAGACTATTCAGAAACCTAATGTGATTCCATTCAGTCTATCCATATTGTAATCTAGGCATCTCCACTCAGTTTTTTCTAACTCCACATGATCACTTAAGAAGTTCTCCAAAGAATCCTTCATAGCCTTCCATCCTTATCTTTATCTATATACTCCTCCTGTCTTACAATATCTGTCCCAAACCTCCTCATCATCTATCAAACCTATCACCTGTGCAGTTAGAAATAATCTATAATTCAGCCCTAAATTTATTTTCAGCTAAGCTTTAAAAAGATTTGACTCCATCATCTTTTCCTCCTTACAGACTTCATTACACTTCTGATAGGCGAGCTCAAGCTTATTGAAAAATTTGACCCCAAAAGTGAGGCAATCTGATGCAACAGCTTCTCCATCACAAGGAGAGCATATTTCTATTTCTATACAATACTCCACCTCTATCCCTATCTCACCCTACCCACTAAATCACCAATCATGCCTTCAATACTTTCCCTGACACCCTCAAGTGCTGCACTTTCCAAAAAGCTAAGCTCATTTTATATTCTATTCTCCACATAACTTGCACACTATTCCAATTGAATAGTCCTGTCTGCACTGTCCTACATTGGTTCCAGGGCATTGTTAGAATGAGAAGTTTAAATTTTGAATTTAAATTTGTGGACAGCCTCACCTTCCTTTCTTTGTAACCACCCCGCACCCCCGGCATTAGATTCCCTATTGTTAAATTCTGCTAATTTCCACTTCTTCAGCCTTATAAATATTAACAACTGCTGAGACTCAATTCATCTCACTATGGTGTCAGGTTACAATGGCCAGAAAAAAAATCAACCTACAATTGCAGCAAAACCAAACAACTGATGTAAGAACAGATGAAGAAACCTGGAATAATGTATCTAAGATGGTTGATGACATTTAATTAGGTGGAAATGTAAGCTGTCAGGTAGACATGGAGGCTGCAAGTACTCTAGATAGGTTGTGAGTGGGCATCAAGGTGACATCTAGGAAATAACATGCAGAAGTGTGAAGAAATTCACATTTGTAGTGAAAACAAAAGCAGATTTTTTTTTTTTTTTTTTAAAAGAAGAGTGAACTTTCCAGTTAATGTTCAGAGGGACTCGAGTGTACTCATGCCAAGATACACAGTTAGCACACAGGTACAGCAAGCAATTAGGAAGATAAAATGACATGTTGGTCTGTGTTGCAAAGAGATTACAATAAAAGAATATAGAAAGTCCATCTGCAACAAAGCAGGGTTTTGGGGAGATCATACCTGAAGAATTATATGTAGTTTCGGTCTCAATAATTTAAGGAAGGACATTGGAGACAGTATAGCTAAGGTTACACGAGCCTACACGAACAGCATCAGAAAGATACTACACTCTCCGACACACTCATCACACTACCCTACATCAGGAACACGTCAGAACTCACCACAAGACTCCCACGACTGCTGGGCATCAGAGTGGCACACAAACCCACATCAACCCTACAACAACTGCTCACCCGAACTAAGGACCCACTCCCCGCCACGGACAGGACCAATGTCATCTACAAGATCCCCTGCAGAGACTGCAAGAAACACTACATCGGACAAACAAGAAGGAAACTAACAAGAGTACATGAACACCAAGTGGCTACAAAAAGACACGACCAATACTCACTCATCTCAATCCGCATGGACAAGGAGAACCACCACTTCGACTGGGACAACACCAAGATCCTGGGACAGGCCAGGCAGAGACAGGCACGAGAACTCCTAGAAGCATGCTATTAATAAACACATTGAACTCAACCCCATATACATTCCACTACGAAAGGAAACCAGAAATGAGGCAATCCATCTCAACGGACCAAAGTTTAAAAACCAGGCAGGAAAACACACCGACACTTCATTGGAGGCTGCACTGAGGATGTTACCAAGCACGGTAATGAAACGTCTGCGAAACAAGAAACCAGCTCGGCAAGCCAACCAACCTCAACAACCTCTAAGGTTCACTACATTGGCCCCTGGGATAATAGGGTTCTCCTATTATGAGGGACTGAGCAAGTTGGGTCCGTAAGTTAGGTTTCTAAACTTTGAAAGAACAGATGATCTAATTGAAACATTGGGGTGCCTGAGCAACAGCAAGGTCTCTCTTGGCCCAGAGATGCTTAGTATTCCACATCCCTTCTGTAAGTCTTCTGAAATACTTACCACGTCATGTGATTACACAGTTGACCTGCCTGCATAGTGCACGGCATGAGCAACTGCTTGACAGGACACCAGCTCCTAAAAAAAAAAAAAAATGAGCTTTTCTATTCTATTAACTGGTCACTGTTTGGCTAGCAGCTGCAGAGAGTCTTTTGCACTGGTAATCGTCTTCATTAGACTAGTTTTTGATGTGGTTTAACAACTAAAATTAGAATCTAAGCACTAAGAAAATGTTAGATGTTAGACGTAACACTTTCATTGAAGTAGGCCATTCATGTCAAGGGCAATTAGGGATAAGCAATAAACGCCAGCCTTGCCAGCAACATCCAGGTGCCACATTCAGAAGAGAACACATTTACGATACATGGGATCAACAGTAAGAACTGCAACTTTTTTTAATACTCAAATGAGTTTGCAACTGTATTAAAAAGTAACTATATTTGTAAGAGTGGCATACATTTAAATAGCTTACATTTTTAAATCAAAATGAGAGCTTTAAAATGAAACACACCTTGTCGGGTCTGTTCTCACAACTGATGCCATTCAATACTGAAAATTGATTGCCAGAGTGTTTATAAATTGAAGTATATTTAAACAAGCAATTTAGAAACAAGCCATGTGCCATTATAATCATTATTCCATGACTCCCCAACAGTCAAGTGACACATTTGTCAAAGTTAAATGGAAGGTACTGACCAGCATGGATTCCAGGTTGGTTAAGTGACTGAAGAGAGCAGTGTTGAACAGCAATCTTTTTGAACTGCAAGATGCCACTTGTATGCAAAGAGCTTCCCTAGAGACTAGTATGAAAACTACTGCTTATTGATACTAATGGCCTTTCACTTGTGCGTGCAGCACACAATCTAAAACTTGAAAGCACTGTGAGCTGACTGGGCAATAATGAAAAAAGACAAAAGACCCTGGTGGAATGGGTGGACAGTTAACAAAATAATGCAGAAAAGTTTGTGACAATACAATTTGGTAGGACAAATAAAGAGGAAATAAAAATACACAATTCTGAGGTAGTGCAGGAGCTGGGGATCTGGGATTTATTTAGGGACAAAGGACTGAAAAGCAGGATTAGGCCATTTAGTCCTTCAAGTCTGCTCCACCATTCAATAAATCATGGCTGATTTAGTTGTGGTTCCAGCTCCACTTTCCTTTCTGCATCCATAACCCTTGACTCTTGTCTATTGAAAATCAGGCCTGATCACATCATTCCCATGTTAGATATTAGGTGAAACACCATAGAGTTTCCTACTTTCTGCCTCTTACCTTTCTTGAATAATGCTGTGCATTTGCCAGTTCTCAATGCGCTAGATTCCTTCCAATATCCAAGGATTTTTTGGAAAGTTATAACCAACACACCTATTTGTGCTGTAACTTCTTTTAAGACCCTAGGATGGAGATGTTATAGTCCTGGGGACTTGTCAGCTTTTGGTCCTGTAGTTTTCCCAGTACCTTCTCCCCAGCGATGTGATTGTTTTAAGTTCTTCTGACTGCTCCGGTTTCCTCCCACAGTACAAAGGTGTGCAAGTTAGGTGGATTGGCCATGCTAAATTGCCCATTGTGTTCAGGG